ACCGAAGACAAACGARAGGGGCACGAATCGCTCCGCCACCGCGACGCAGACGAAAAGGGATCGTCCTACTATTCCTTTTCCCTGAAAACGGACAGCGACGACGACAACGACGACGAAAGCATCCATCACAACAACAGCGACGACAGCGACGGCGACAACGCCAAGCAGGGCAATGCGGCGGAGACGGAAACCGAGGATAGCAGCGCCGGTGAAAACGAGAAGAACGACGAGAAGAACGGAAGCAGCAACAACAGCGGCGCAGACGACGACGACGACGACAACGATCGGTCGTTGCAGGCCCGGGGCAGCAACGAGGGTTGGAACTCCGCACCGGCCGGAGAGAACGCCACCGGTACCCTTCCATCGGAATCCCCCGCCGAAGGCAGCGCTGCCACCGGAGGCGCCTGCCCGGCCACCGTTCGGAGGGAAGAAGCCGATCCCCCCGGCCGCAGCGACGGTGGCAGCGACAGCGACGGGGGGGCCGGGCTGTCCGCGGACGCCGCCCGGGGGTACGGGGTCTTCGGGGCGGGCGACTCGTCCGACGACGAAGACGACATTCCCTTTTGACGTGGCGTGGCGTGGCGTGGCGTGACGTGACGGGGCAAGGTGCGTGGGCACGCACGCATTCATCCGTGCGGCACGGAGTCTCGAAACAACACGAGACCTCGCCGCTGCGCCGCCATCCATTGGTTCGACACCCGGCACGATTTGATTGCGAAGCCAAAGAAAACCTGCGTGYRTCTAGATCAAAAGGGAGCTGCGATAGTTTTTTACTACTATTGTTGTTCTTTCTAGTAGCGTCGCCCCGACGCTTGGGGAAAAATCAGGTCCGTTCCCATCGAATGAGATTCTCCGTGGCTTGTGCGTGCCGACCTAAGCTAACCAATACTGTATCACCAGAGGGTTCCGTTTCTCGATCGTCCCTCGGTCGACCGCCCGTGCCGGCCCCGCGCGATCGGTGGTTCCCGCGTTCCGGAACGAAAGCCGTGGGTTCGGCGAGCGGCGTTCCGTTCGGATCCATCGATTCGCAGCGGATCCATCGATCCATCCACGCAGTTTGCGCTGCGTTTGCGCCATCTCGGTCAAAGCACCCGGCCTTTTCCACCGCACGCTTTGGTCCAATCTTTCGAATCATCCATCTATCCCTCTATTCCGACGTGATCGGTGCTTCAAAGAATTGCCATCCAATGGTTTCCAATCCAGTCCAGCAAAATCCTATCCAATCCGATTCATTCCATCGGTCCAACCAGCACACCGCGATTGCAGACTGTTGTATCCTCACCACGTGTACAGAGCATCGGGGACGGAGGCCCCGGCCATTCGGATCGACGCGGCCCCCCGGACCGCTCGAAAGCCGTCCTCCTCGTTTTCGCTTAACCCGCTTGGCACGAGGATTTTTCTCGAGATCCCGCTCCCTTCAAAGAGCGGAGGATCCCCGCGTGCACCGTCGTCGAGACAGATCTTAGCCGTGACGTACAGGTCGTTCGATGCGTCCAAGACGGACCGCTCCCAGGACCGATCCGCCATCAAGAAATTATTCGAGGACTCGGAGAGGACGAAACTGATTGGGAAGGATTCGATCTGCGCCAACGGAATCCTGGCCCCCATGAGCGGAATCGAGGAGGAAGGATTTTCGGAAGTGCGGACGGTAACGATCAGGGAGGACGACGCGGGGTTCTGCTGGTTTCTGCTCTTTCCGTTGTCCATGGAAGAACCCATGCGATTGTTCGACGGCAGGTAGATCAGTCCACGGACAGAATATTCTTCCTCGTCGCGGTTGTATTCTTTTCCTCCATCCTGAGAGGCAGGGCAGTACGAAGAAAGAGATCCCGATGTTTTCGACGTGTTCCCTCTTGCATTCGACAGTAGAGCCGCGGGTGGAGATGACGCGGGAGGTTGCCGCACCACGTTTTGAATCCCAAGCGTCTGCGACTCGAAGTATTTGGGGCAATTATAGCTGCTCTCATCCCGGGCAGCGGGCACTGCGGCATGGCTTGCGGGAACCGGCAACAGGAGCAAGAATGCAAGTGCAGCGATTGCAATGGAACGATTTGTGTGGTTCGGAATCTCTGGTACGAAGAACTCCTTTTTGTCTCCACTGATGAACTCGCGCGGAAACTCCATAGTCGGGGTCCGGTCTGCCTTCTTCGACTCGATCGTTCTTCCGTTGGTTGCTCGAGGTTGCACCCATGCCGCCTTACGCGACAACCAGGACCATCCATGAACGCACCCGCAAACAGAGAATAGAATCGCAAGTGAGATCAGAACTCGCGCTTGTTTTCTACAATAATGATTGAGTCTGGTCATTGGTGGCAGTTCAATGCATTCCTTCGTTTCTTCGCGAAGTACGAGTAGGGTACTTTGTATTTTGGTACTTGTTTCATGATGTCAGAATCATTTCGACGATCTTGACCCCTTCAATAGGATTGACGGACAGAACGACTTCTGTCGGTCGCACATGTAGCGCACGGTAGGCAGGAATAGAAGACCTCTTTTTTCGTACTGTATTATCGTAAACTTGATTTTTCTGATAGGCTTTACAAATACTGCTATGTCTTAACAGAGCATAAAAGAATAGCTTTCCCAGAATGAGTAATGCTTGTCCGTATCAATCCGATTCTAGTGCAAGTAATTAATGCCTGATAATAATACCGGCATGTCTAACAACTGCTACATGGAGATGAGTTCCAAACCCGAGTTGACATGTTTGGAAAGTCAGACGCGTGGGGTAAGAGGTTTAGTACCGTACTCGTACCCCAGTACCCCAGCAGTAAAATGAAAAGTTATTGACTGTACAGTTATTACTTGTTCTTACGTACAGTACTTACAGTAGTATTGTACGTACGATAAGTCGTACTTTTGTATTCCTTCGAAGCGAAGATACAAATGATATTACGGCGAACCCAAACGAGCCAAAAATCATGACCAGGTTTTGACAGATTAATTTTCATTGGTCCATCAAGTATGACGGTGCACGTGAAATTGCATGACTCATTCCACAAGTTTGATGTATTTTCGATTGTATGTCCTCCACTAGTATTCCTACTATTTTTGTTTTCTACGAATGTAATTTCATTCATCGGAGTCGAATCCACGGTTTCAATCATACTTCTAGTAACTTTGCTGTACTAAATCGGTAAATGCATTCTCGAGACTTGTCCAAAGGTTTGTTGAACTAATGTTCAACCTCGAAATGATGCATGCATTCGTGGCCGCAGTAAGATGGTGTTCTGTCTCAGTGCCGATTGCACCGAGAATCAAAGGTTTGAAAATAATGGAGGAAATAGCGAAACAAACAATGGTTCTAGGTTTTTCTCGTTGTTCAGTCCAGTAGAAATCATTACTATTAAAAGTATTAATTTTTAGGTTGTCCTTTAAGTTCTAGCAAGCGTAATGATGGGTAGTATGATTGAAGGTTCTTCGAGTTCTATGGCAGCTAATGCGTCTTTCCCCTGCTCCCCCATTTGCGGTCATGAAATTACTTTGCCCCGTATATTCGAGTCGTCATGTATGAACTGCAATCGTTCTTGTTGATGCTCTGATTTGAAAGAGGGGCAATCAAAGGAAAAATTTCGGTGGGTGTCGGCAATCTTGGTGCAGGTGGAAGGTAATGGCCATGATGCCTATCAAGACTACCATTGGTTGCAATGTCTTCGTAAGATATAATATCGCAGTTGTTCGTGGACGGGGAGATGGGTTTCATTTGGTAGGACTTGTAAATGTCGTTTTCGTTAAAGCTGACGCTGCGCTTTTTTCTTGTGGAGCTCGTGATAGCAAGAGGCGCTGTGCTTGCGGCGGGTCTCGCACCTGTTTTCTTGTCCTGATCTTGCGTCAATGAATCATAGGAGGATTGGGAAGTGGTACCGTCCGATTGCTCCTCATCTTGTGCATCTTCTTTTGGTCGGCCTTCCTCTTCTTGTTCGTTTGAAAAAACAAGCATGGCGGATGAAAGGAGTGCCACCATTCGATGCTCGTTATCGGGCTTGGTGGGAAGAGGTGTTACTGTCGGATGTAAAGACTCTTCGTTGTGCGACTTGCTCAGCTTTTGCCGCTTGGCATTCTCTCGGCCATTCCTTTCATTTACCAAAGGCTGGCATTGCCCGAGAATTGCGAATTTGTTATTCATGTACTGATTGTCACCTAGCCTTTGGCATTGTGGAATCAGATGACGCTTCATTGTTGTCTTTGCGATGGCTTCGGCTTTTTCGAGTTGCATTGTTTGTGTGATTTGCAGGTGCTGTGATTTGTGTGAAGGAATTTTGGTGATGGCGTTTGCAAGCAATATTGTTACGATCCGGTCTTATTCTGTGCTTTCTTGTACTGTGTTGTGAGATCAAGTCACCCTTTCGAGATTCAAACAGGGCGAGCTCTTGATGGTGGCGATTCGAGAAAATACCTGTACTCGTATGTATTTTCGTCGTATACCGGTATTTAAGTTACTCCGTTTGCGTGCAGCAAGCAGTTAGAGATGTCTTTCTCCGGAAAGTTTCATTTGTTGAAAATGAGTTCTTGCACATTCTTTGACATGAAGAACACAAAATACTTAATCCTATCCATTTCTAAATATTTGATTGGAGGAAACCGGTTCGGGTTGGTATTTGTGGAATGGAAAAACGATAGAAAGGAACGACGAAGACCATCACGGGCTGGACAGATGACTCTTAAAGAGTGCATGCACGGGAAAAGGGGATGAACTTTCGTGACACGAGGTTCAAACTTCCAAACATGTCAACATCCGTAAGAGAAAAACTTCGTGAACAATGATCATGGCGCAGCGCGTGCTGGTCGTGATGCAGGTTTGACATGCCTGACTCAACATACCGTTAAGAATCCAATTTAGGTACTCTACAGTACGATTTGTACGAGAATGCGAAAAAAGATTGTTTGGGCTTTAATTGTTTGCCACCCCACCATAAATAAGCCATTCCCATGGTGAAGAAAATCAGTCGTCGACACCAACAACACTCGAAACAGGTTGTCAAAACGTGGTTGTGTCTTGCAAATGGAGAAGGCTTGGTGTCACCAAACTTCACCCCCATCCCGAAACTCTTTTGATGCCCACGGAAGGGGACGGAACATAGTTTCGCTTTGTGCAACCTCTAGTTTACAAATTGTCTTTTTATCAAGAATTCAATATTCTTTCGTTTTTTTCGTGGCATTGAATATTTTGATTTGAGATTCGCATGGGAGCGGAGAATCTTTCTGGCACTTCAGCAACGGCCTTGATTCTTCGACTGTCACCTGGACCAAAAAGAATACAGATTCGAGATTAATTATTGACATAGTAGTAATACTGTGAAAGAAGAAGAGTACGTTAACCATAACATTCATCTGGGTGATGTTGCTGGCACTTTGGATCCAGCATTTTAAATGTTGATAGTCGGTAAGAAAAAATTTGAAGTAGAAGTTCCGTGTTTGACACCATAKTGACACYACCAACTGTTCGYTCAACCATGATAGCTAAAAAATRTCCTTGATGCGCTGATACCAGAACTAGAAATAGTAGTAGTATGAATAACAATAAGAAACAAAGAATGCTCTGGGAGGTAGTATGTGAAGCTAGTAGTACTATCCAACTAAGCCAAACTCCTATTTTTTTAGAACTAGCAAGAACTACTACTAGTATGGTGCCCATGGTTTATGTTTGGTACCGCACCAGAGTAAATACTAGATTTTGCCTCGCACGACTACCTTGTCCTTATTTTAGTCGTACTATTAGCTTCTACTACTACTTGTAGTTACTGATTTGTTGGTGGGTTATCACAACAACCCTAAATTGTCGAGATGACATAATGATCAAACCGTGATCACAAAATTGTTACACTATGCGTACATGGAAAAGAAATTGGAATCACCCAGAAAAAGCTGCTGTCTTTCTTGAGTTTTRCAGTTTTCGCCACTACTAGCATAAGAAACAACGAGCTACTAGTAGTTGTTGGAATACTATCGCAGTCCAAGTCATTTTTTCTTTCATTGTTGAGGTGTGGGCCTCAAGGTGGATTGACTCAATTTGTAAACAACAGATGGTAGATCATCGAACTGCTGCTTTGGTCCCGCGGCACAAACGTTTGCTATGGATAATTTTGAACCAAACTGGATCCCATCGGATCTTCATAAACACAAGCATGCAGTAATATTGTATTATAATTGCTAAAAAAATACTACTGAAACGACATATCTCTTCAGAGGGACCAAAGGTAGAATAGTCATGCGCGGCAACCAGTTTGTCTTGCGGCCCAGAGCACAGCCGTTGCCGTCTCACCGCGTCACAGAATGCTGGTTCCCTGCTGTTCTTCCGGATACTCATCGAATCCATCCATGTCGTTCCACTCCAGGTCTCCGTAGTCCCTCCAGATAGCCACGGCGGCACGATTTCCGGCGTCGATGGTCGGAGGGACGAACGACGAATCCAGGCACGACATGCCCTCCCCCAGTTCCTCGGCGTCGCGCGCCGAGTGCAGGACGATTTCGATCGGCCGGCCCGCGCCGTCTTCCGTCGTCGTGGGTGCGTCTGGTCCCGCGCTTGCGCCTCTTTCGTCCGACGACGCGGACAGGGCAAAGGACAGGCACTCTGGGGTCGTTGGGGCCCGTTGGCCCCAATCGGGATGGCCGTCCTGGAGGCGGTTCCACCTCGTTGTGGTAAATGCCAGAACCGGGATCCCCCGTTCCGCACACACCGGAAGGGAGAGGGCCTCGGCGGCGGCCTTGTGCCCCATGTTGTACCGGAGCATCATGGCGTCCAGCAGTGGGAGCGGAGAGGACGCGCCGTCATTGTCGTTGTCGTTGTCCCGTTCCTCCCCACGGTCCAGGGACCCCAGCCAGGCCCCCACCGAGTGGGAGTGGGTCGAGGCCCCTACGTACCGGACGGAACCGTCCCGAACCCAGGACCGCGCCAGTTCCAGGGCTTTCACCAGGTCGCCGCTGTCGTCTCCGGCTTCCTCCGGGCAGACGTATTCAAGGACGAAAAGGTCCAGGTAGTCCCCCCCGGAATAAGCGAGGGCGTCCCGTAAGCGCTGCTCCATGCCCTTCTGGGACCGATCGGTCCCACCGCTGGCCAGGAATAGGTCCTCCCGCCGAATAGGATTGTTCCCGCTGTCCTTGTTGGCCAGTTCACGAATCCCCCGCATAAAGTCCGGATACCGGTGCGGATTGTAGTAAAACAAAAAGGGGGCAGCGGGAGTTGCGTTGGC